TATCCACCGCTTCAGAATCTTTAATCAATTGATCCTGGTATAGACCCCAGCCGCCTCTGATAACAGCCGAGCTCCATCCTCTTTGGAACCCCCCCTCAGGTAGTTGAAAGCAGCTATCAAATCTCCCCTCATTCTTCTCTTCTGGAGACTAAACAATCCCAGTTCCCTCAGCCTCTCCTCATAAGTCATGTGCTCCAGACCCCTAATCATTTTAAGCACTGAAATAAATTGCCTAGGGAGGTTATGCAACCTCAATCATTGGAGACTGTTAAGAGCAGGGTAGATAAACACCTGTCCGGGATGGTTTAGACAATACTTAGACCTGCCAGGAGTGCAGGGGACTGGACTAGACGACCTTTCAAGGTCCTTTCCAGTCCTACAATTCTATGATTCTATCCCTAAGATAAATATAGAACCAATTATTGCCCAAATGGCTAACATTTTGCAGAGGTGGAGTTTGTTAACCCGTAGTTTATGGGGTAAAACTAATATACGGAAAATGAATGTCCTTCCCAGAATTTTGTATGTCCTGAAGGGTCTCCCTATTTCTATTCTTTAAACTTATTTTAAGATATTCAATAATGTTTTCAGAACACTTCTTTGGGGTGTTAGCATATAGGCTTGTTTGTCAGCCTGAGACAGAATTTGGGGTTTGACTTTTTGTTACTCGTATCTTATACTAATATGAAGGACAACGATGCTGTGTGTTGCATTTCCTACCACCAGATGGGGCTTTTAGTACAATGGGAAGAGATAAGGGATGAAGCTAAAAGTGTTACAGGGTATGGTGGGAGTGTAATATATGAGCGCACACTTAAAGACTGCCTCAACTCCTTATCTGAAAGCAAGGTCAGACAACCAGTTGGGAGGGGCAAGGGGAGTTTGTGGGGGGAGGTAAAACACTAAAAGACCAGAGAAATGCCTGCCCCTGACCGGAGCACAACCTCATTCCTTACCCCTCCCATGGGGTACAAAAGGGGTGAGATGAAGACCCCGACTCACAACCCTCCAGAACCATCAGTTATAAGGGGTGTGACTAGGGGCGTGCATTGCAGGTATATTTGGGCCTGCTAAGAGGAAGGAGTGGGAATGGGAATGGGAGACCAGGAATAGGGGAATGAGGAACAGCGACACAGGCAAGGTTCTGCAGTGTCAGAGCTGGAAAGGGGGACATAGGGTAAATGCTCTGTGGCATTAGAGCTGGAAACAGAACACTGGAAAGAGGGAGCTCCATCGGTGTGCGGAGCTAGAGGATTCTATTGGCGTATAGAACTGTAGTTGTGGGAGGGGAAGGGGAAAACTCTATCGTGTATAGAGATAAGCCCAACTGGTGTGAAGGGCTTCGGAATAGGCTTGCTTGGAACTAAAGCCCAATAAATATCGCATTGCCTGCACTTCAGACTTCCGGTCTTCTGCTTTCCATCTGCATGACAAGAGCCAGGGAAGGGTGTGAAGGGAAAGCCCTCTAATATGGGGCACAGGTAAGAAACCTACACAGGTGAACAAATTACAATTCCCCCTGTCTCTGGGAGCATTTCATTTTACCAATTTATTATTTATTATTTAGATTACAATAGAGCCCACAAACTCCAACAATATGGACTGCAGCCTCATTTTATCTATCTAAGGTACTTCTATGGGCCTGCATTACTCTGGTATCTGTGTACTTCATAATCTTTAAAGAATTTATCCTTGACACCCCTGTGACAAAGGGAAGTGCTATTATCCCCATTTTACAGATGGGGAACTGAGGCACAGCGAGACTAAGTGATTTCCGTAAGGCAACAGAGGAAAGTTCTCGCAGAGTAGAGAATTTAACGAAGGTCTCCAGACTCACCCTAGTCCTAACCACTGGATCATCCTTCCTCTCTAGGTCCTGTACAGACACACAGAATGTTACAGTCCCTGTCCCAAAGGGTTTACAGACTAAAAAGACAAAGACTAACTACAGGTAAAGGAAAGATATGCAATACTTCCTTATCATCTGCTTTGCACCCAAATGTGGCTGTGGTGCTGGTTGCAAAGAAAATATACAGCACATGGCTGCCAACTAACACCACATGACCCAGCTTAATGCAGCCAGGAAGGAGAACAATGGGGAGAAAGCCTCCCTGAACCCTCTCTGCAGCACTCTGCCTCTGCCACAGGGTCTGAGTAACCAATACCCACTCCTAAACCCATCAGGTCAAGGAGGCAATTAAGTGGGTGGAGCCTTGGCTCCTTCTCTCCCTTCCCCCCGACCCCCCACCAAAAAAACCCATACTGACCAGTGGAGATGAGCCTGCATGAAGTGGGGAAATAAGCTGTATTCTATAAATGGCTACAATAAATTCCTCCCCCTGTAAGCAAAATTGGAGCAGAGGAGAAATTGAGCTTCAGTCAAAATTCCTTCCCAGGGCTTCTCCTGAGATTGGGTGGCAGTGCAGCTACACACTGCCCTTAGACAGAACTGGGTTTATGACTCAATCTAACTCTATGTTATTAAAATGTATATTTCAGAGAGTGAAAAGAACTTCTCATATAAAAACCTAAGTTAAAACAGATGTTATCACAATGAAAATAGTGTCCATTTAAAAGCATAAAAATATTTCAACCTGGGGAACTCCTTACCTGAGGAGGTTGTGAAGGCTAGGACTATAACAGCGTTTAAAAGATAAACCATGGATAAATTCATGGAGGTTAAGTCCATTAATGGCTATTAGCCAGGATGGGTAAGGAATGGTGTCCCTAGCCTCTGTTTGTCAGAGAATGGAGATGGATGGCAGGAGAGAGATCACTTGATCATTGCCTGTTAGGTTCACTCCCTCTGGGGCACCTGGCATTGGCCACTGTCGGTAGACAGGATACTGGGCTAGATGGACCTTTGGTCTGACCCGGTACGGCCGTTCTTATGTTCTATATTACCCATTTACACTTAATCTAAGACTCCAGAAAAAAAAATGTACAGTAAAGTTACATTGTATTATTTGAGCAATAGTATGAGATTATGTAATTAAAGACTGCATTGAAATGCAGTTGCACAAGTCATTCCTTGACTTCTGAGTGCATAACTGTACAACTTTAATGATCCTTTACTATTTTTTCTTGATGGGGCATAGATAAACTTTGCAAAAAAAATGCTTACTGTAGGCTATAAAAGGAAGCTGTGAAGGATAGTTAAAATGTGTTTACCTGAACTGTAGGATTAAACCGTTATAGTTCACTTATCCAAGATTTTCAATTTCCCATATAAACAGGCAATTTCGTAGAACATTGCAAATCATAAAGTGTCTTGACATTCAAAATATGTTTTAAAATAAGTTATAGCTAAAGAAGGTTTATTGAATTATTTCTAAAAACAATTTACCACAAAATATGACAAGAACAGAACATCATATTTTATGCCTCACTGATAAAAAGTCTGAATCCTCATTGTCATGGAATCAGTAGACTTTTCTGTTAGCTTCATCTCCATGGTAATAACAGTGTAAAATAGCACTGGGAAATTATAGGTAAGGACTAAGGAGAACAACAACAGGATAAAAAGAATGACCTCTAGCATGACATTTTCAGAAATATACACATACATAATAACCTTTTATTTTTAGAATAACCATTAGAGTAGAAATTATTGTGATTTTGCTAGTTTAGAAGTACACCTGATAGCAATTCAAATAAAAGATTTTTTCATATGCTGATGTTACCCCACTTCCAGTGTTACAGAATTGTTAGTATAAAACAGAATAAATGCTACAGTAGTATTGCCTGTAAACAGTGTTTCAGAATGTAGACTTTTAGGATTTCAATCCATTACCAATTACATTTTATTTAATTCCAGATATTCTGCAACATAATTGGAGACGCTTGTTTAACCATCTCATTTTTACCTACTGTTAGTGATAAAAATATTGTTTGAGTAAAAGTGATGTGATCTGTTTAAAATATAATCATACAGCAAACAAATTGAGCTTTCATTCACCAGCTGTTTCCCAGCCTATAATAAATTCCACTTGCAAAATAGACCTTTCCTGCTGTAAACTACATTTTAATGGGCCACATATCTTCATACAATTCTATACACGTAAATATGATAAGGACTGCAAGTGCTACATCACCCGATGCCATATTTAAAACCATCTTCCCCACCCCTAGTTTTTTTTTTTTTTAACTAAACTGGATTAACTGGATTTACCAGGTTGAATGTAGGTTAAATTCAGGCCAAAGCGTGATTTATAATCACATGAACTAAATGTAATTACAAATCACATGCAGTTTCCAGAAAGCTGCTGTAACTAACATCACTGTTTTAATAAAAAAAAACTATGATTAATCTAGAAATATGAAATTAATCTGGGATTGTATCCACTTCATGGAGATCAATAAGGATAGAATTCAGAGTCTTCTATTCCAAAAAGAGTTCTTCAGTACAGAATAATTGCCAGTTACTACTACTACTGCCAGTTAGCAGGGATTATAATTTCTTTAAATCATCCATTAGGAGGCAAAATTGTACATAAACATTAGTCTATACATGAAGGAATAGGGGTTTTGGGCTGTTTTTTTCAAAAATTCCAGCACCCCTGTTTGCAAGAGCAATTTGCGCCCAGAACGAAATGGGTTCCGCAATTTGCAATTACAATTCAAATGTGGGCACAACTCAGAGTATTTGCATCTGTACCTACTTAATTGCAGAGACAGTTAAATCTGTAAGTACTTGGATTTGTGCTCACAACTGATACATGAAAATAAGGAAGCTGAACTCTTTAATTACTATCTAGAGCTACAACTTTAACAGTCAGAGCATTTGGGGTTGTAAGGTCCATTCAAACTGCTGAACAAACATCTCAAATATGATTTTTGACACACACCAACTAGCAATGGTTAGCTATAAACAACTAACGCCAAGGGCATAACATAAAATACCTTATGGTTACTGGAGTAAAGAGAAGCATTGTGGTAACGTTGTCCAAAAATGCAGAAAGAATTGCAGCAATAAGACACAGAATGATAATCATGGCCCACACTCTGCCTCTAGACAGTTGGTAAGCCTAATAAAACCAAACAAATAGCAATGGCATAAAGGCATGGAACATATCAGCTTCATTTTCAGAAATGACCAATGAACAACTTTATAAAAGATGGTGCAACAATGTTATACTAGTCACTTCTTTAGGGCCTGCCAACCAAGGATCTCAGTATGCTTTTCAAACATTAATTAATTTAGCTACGAACTACTCTAGGGAAGCAGGAAAATATCTCTGTTTTACAGATAAGGAAATAGGTACAGAAAGAGTAAGTGATTTGCTAAAGGTAACACAGGGAATCTGTGGCAGAACCAAGAAGAGAATCCAGGTTTCCTGTTTTCTCTTGCTTTAACTTCAAATCCTGCATTCCTCCTTTTATAGTCATATGGAAATCTACTGCCTTGAATACAATCTAAGTAAACAAGCTTTACACAGGAAACTATGAACGGGACGACTGAGTATTGAATTTATTCTCCCAACCCATGGGCTGTGCAGCCTAAGCCACCCCACGCTACCATTCTGTTCAGATAGAATAACAGCTGAGTCTTTGATTCAACCCCTACACAAAGGTCTATGGCCGTTAATGATATATAAACATAAACCCAGTGGTCTGACCCACACCTCCTCTCTACTCTCCTCTGGACTGGACACAGATGAGTATGCATGGAGCACAACTTTGTTGCACACAGTGGATAGGAAGTCAATGGGATTTAGGGTGACCTGATAGCAAGTGTGAAAAATTGGGACAAGAGATGGTGGGTAACAGGTGCCTATGAAAGACAAAGCCCCAAATATAGCGATTGTCCCTATAAAATCGGGACATCTGGTCACCCTAATGGGACTACTCACATGCTTAAAATTATGCATGTGGTTAAGTACCCTACTGAATCAGGGTCTGTGGCCTTAACTTATAAAAATATCATTTCTTGAAATGAGTCCTCAACACTTAGCTCCTTAAAAGAATTATAAATTAACAATTACTTTGTAGTATGACAAATGTAAATTGTCCTTACATAAATGTTTTTAAATGTATGATTTAGTCTAATAGGTTTGACTAAACAGCAGTTGTATTAGTTCAAGAAATATGTAAGAGTGCTGCAGTAATATAAATACAGTACTATAAAGAATTTAAATGCAAGATGTCACAATAAACCTACCTTGACTGCACAGTAATCAAAAAATCCAGTTTCTGAAAATATGGCCACTAAAAGCATCTACAGAAAAAGAAAGAAAGAAGGATGGAATTATTCACATAAAAAAGTGAATGGTTTGGTTTGTTGCTTTAACAAGGAGTCCTGCATCTCTGCCACAATTTTGGTCCTGATTTTGGAGAGGACATCAGACGTAAATTAGGATGCCACGCGTCAGAAGTCAGATTTCTATTACTGGCATTTATGGTAAAATTTACATCTGTGCAGTAGGGCCATGGTCTTATTTAGGATGCAAGGAGTGCATAGACTTTGTGCAGGCCTCTCTACAGGTGTGAATTTCATTCCTAATTACTTGGTAGGCACCACATGTTACAAATATCTCTGCCCTTCTCGCTAATCAAAAGTGGCCATTAGTTTACAATGGTTTTCTTCAGCAGTGCTCTGTAGAGTCCAGAAGACATCAACTCCCTAAGATTATTTACATTTTTCCATATTTCAGGGAGATTTCCTGGTCCCCCAGTCTTTTTGGATGCAGGAAGTCATTACAATTCATAGATGGCAATGGATTTTGTCTATTTATGATACCATAGCATATTTCAGTCACAAAAGGGCAATACAGATTAATAGGAGTAGAGGTGGGCAAATAATTGATATATTATTATAGTCTAGCCAGGTATATGCTTTTTTCCAATTGCTCATTCAGGCCCACAACAGAACACTGATTAGGACAAAGGAAATCACTTTCTCTAGTCGAGTATGTTTGAGGAAGGCTTAGTGTAAATAAAATTAACAAGTGGAATGAGAGTGATAACGCTCTCCAAAGCTAGTCTCTTTCACCAACAGAAGTTGGTCCAATTAAAGGTATTACCCATCTTGTCTTAGTGGTAACACTTGGCATGTATGCAGGCTTTTTCATTTATAGATCTCAAAGATCCTTTCAATGGGAGATGTGTTATCACTAGAGATCAGCAAAAAAAAAATCGATTAATAGTTTATTTGCCCCAAAAAGCAGTTTTGGTTGACCCAAAATTATTTGTGACTTTCTCACAAATTCACAAATGTTTTTCAGGGGCAGAAGTGGTGGCTCCTGCTGCTCTCCTTCTAACTTTCAGCCCAATGGTTATAGCTCTGAGACCAAGGTTCAAATCCTCCCAAGCTATAGGGTCATTCTCACTCTCTTTCCCTGGCCCAATGACTATTCATTGTCATTAATAATACAGAGAATAGTCACTGGGCCAGGGAAAGTGAGTGAGAATGATTCTATAGACTGGTGGTTAGAACACTTATCTATAATGAGGGAGACTCAAGTTTAAGTCCTATGTATATTTAATTATTTATACAAAGTAGAACAGCTGAAATAAGAGATTGAGAGAGCCCCACATCTGAACATCCCATAACGCAGTGGCTAGGGTGTTCTTCTGAAATGTGGAACACCCAATTTCGAACACCCAATTTCAAAACCCTATTCACATCAGGCAGAGAGGGGAATTGAACCTGTCTCTCTAACATCCAAGGTGAGCACCCTAAACTCTGGGCTAAAGTGTATTAGGAGAACTCCTCCTCCAGCTCGTCCTTTAAAATGCTAATTTTGGGGACAAATTCACCAATATTTTTGTGCAATTTTCCTATTCATTTTGGATCAAGTCTTTTTTTTTTCCAATTTTTCAGAGCTGCCAGCAAACCAAAAAAATGCCGTGAAAAAGAGCTCTGACCGTCTTCTGACCTGAAGAAGAGTTCTGTGCAAGCTCAAAAGTTTATCTTTCGCACCAACAGAAGTTGGTCCAATAAAAGAAATGTTATTCCACCTTGACTCAGCAAACCAAAAAATCAGTTATTTATACAGTTTTAGTTATCACCCCTGTTTTATGAGGGGAAGAAACCAAGACCAACATTTTTCTAAAGTGCCTCATTTTCTCCAAGTTTTTGAGTGCCTCCAGTTTTTAAACACTCTAAAGAAGCCAAATTTTCAACATAGCAGCTCTCAGTTAAAAGGATGTTTACAAATAAAAAGAAACAGCTAGACATTGACTACAATTATTCCAGCACTTTAAGAGCAAAAGTTACATTTTATTTACCATTCCAAACAACAGCGCCAGGGTTTCATAATCAATCCACTCCACCACTTTGATCATGCTTGGTCTCTGCAAATCAAACAATACAATGATCAGTTAATCCTGTGGATCACCTAACTAATGATTAGCTATGGAACTTCAAATTCCACTTAATTGGTGAACTATTTAAATAAGCTGTGATAGAAATTAATTAGTGTTTCTGCAATGTACCCAAAGAGGGCTCTTTTCTATTATCTCTGAAAAATGCTGACAGCCTGAACGGTTCATTATCTAGCACCTACATTTGGTTTTTAATTTGTTTGTTTCTCTTGTACAGAAATAAATGAAAACTGGTTTATAGACTGCACTTCACTTTACTTTCTGCTAACAGAATAGGACAATTCACCTTCACCTGTGGACAAATTGAAGGGAATTCAGAGAAGAGTAGTCACAAGGATATGTGCAAAGATTGAAAGAACTAGTAAGTACATAGTTTTGCTAATTGTCAATTAAGGAGCATGGGGAAAGATAAAAATATTTGAAAGGAGTAAATACCACTGAGGGAGTGTTATCATTTATGGTGGCCCCAAGGCAGTATAACCAGTAGATATGTTTGTTTAGGCTCCATGGAAAACCTAATGTGGCTGAACATGACAAAAATGTGAGGGATAAAGATATCAGTTTTCAGACAGAGCCAAGGAGCTCTGGTATACCTTACGACATTAATTTTTTTCCCCAGGTGAGTGTATTGTGATCTCTTCTTGATATTTTGAAAAAAAAACAGCTTTATGATTGTAAGGGATTTATTGCAAATTAATAAAAGCAAACTTGAAATTAAGTAAACGTCTAACTAAAACTATAAATCTTTATTAGACTATTTAAGGATTGAACAGCACAATTGTCAAATCAAAATTTCAATTGGAATTGAACTAATAAATAAACAAATTGACAATAATGGAATGGAATCAACAACTGACCAGATCATAGGATGAAAACAGTTAAGACTTAAATCATGGAGTTAATATAACACATGATCTATTTTTGTACAAACTTAAGGTGTCATAGTCTGCTTTTAAGCTCCTGAACCAGTTACCAGACTTCCTTAAAGTTGCCCCTGACTGAATGACTTCTACCTTGTCTTTCTACAGTTAACTCTTTCCTTACCTAATCTCCCTCTCTCTGATACAAAGTGAACAACAACCCATAATTTCCCTTTTGGGAGCAGATACTCTTTTATAACCCAATGGGACATGAAGCAATTAAGTTAGGATTTACTGCAGATTTAGAATAAGCACGCACTATTTCTTTGACATACACATACACATACTCTTGTTCATACTTTTGAAATGTTTGGAGAAAAATCAATAAAGGTGCCAAGCATCCTTGCCAGGCAGATTAAAAGGGGGAACAAAATGGAAAAAGGTTACTTAGGCCATGTCTACACTGCAGACCTTAGAGAGGCACAGCTGTACCGCTGCAGCTGCACAACTGTAAGGTCTCCCATGTAGCCGTTCTATGCCAATGAGCAGTTGTAGCTATGTTGGTGGAAGACCGTCTCTAGCTGACATAGCGTTATCCACACCGGCGCTTTTGTCGGTGAAACTTATGTTAGTCAGGGGGGTGTTTTTTCCACACCCCTGTCCAACAAAAGTTTTACTGACAAAACTGCTAATGTAGACATAGCCTTAGAGAAAAAAAAAGATTCTTTAGCTTGCTGATCTTTGGAGCATCAGCATCAAGATTGCAGAACAGGGACCAGGTGATATCATCTCTGGTCTCAGTATCTTTCATTGGCTGGTGGGCTTCCTTGGGCAGTTGGCTGGTCAGATGATGATGTCGTGGTCTCCTCCTTCCTGGAAGGAGGAGAAGCGGCAGCCCTTCTTGGTGTTGTGATGGCCCAGAAAGGATCACACCTTATTTAGGGCACCTAGACCTTTAAGGTTGTGATTCTAGTTTCTCCATTCAACATCACGGCACTGGAGAGCTTCCAAGAAAATCAGATGTTACAAGCTTCATAGCCCAATAATATGGTCCAATCAATCAGAGTTGAGGGATAGGCAGGTTGACCTTTCTTTATCTGGGAAGCACTAACTCTTACTGGCAATATACGTCACTGAACCCAGGGCCGGCTCTAGGATTTTTGCCGCCCAAAGCAAAAACAATTTTGGCCGCCCCCCCCCATTCTTTAATTACCCCACCCCTGGCCCCGCCTCAACTCCGCCCCTTCCCCAAATCCCCAGCCCTGCCTCCTCCCCCCAGGCTCTCAAGCCTAGGAGGGA